TGACCATGGTCTACCATTGCTTTGTCTAAGATGGTCTGCCATGGCATACCATATGAAGAAATGTAGGTAACCATGCTTTAGCACGGAAAAACATCAGGTATCAGTCATAGCATTTGTTCTTACAAATTTGTGGACTTTTGGCGGGGTGGGGTGGTGGTGATGGGATTTGAATTTACCATCATCTGATAGCTCTTGTTTATAAACTTCTTATGAACTCAAGATTACGACTGACTGATTCAACAACTTGTATGTGAGCAATTTGATACAACTAACAAAACATACCCGGTAGTACAACACCAGACTTTGTCAACAAACTAACAAGTTGAACCTCTGGGGACCAGTCATTGTTGTTTGTTTGGAAGGATGATCTTACCATCATGTCTCCTATTCCTCATCATATTGACGCTTCTTCAGCATCCTCTTTATTATTAAGTGTTTGGGTGTGTTGCCATTGACGACAGTAACATGTTTCAGTTTTAGATTTCAAAGGCATTTGCAGTTTCGGTCCAGATCAATTGTTTTTTCCTCATATCTAATTTATGTTTGGGGTTAGTTTTATGGACAAAAATAAAACAGTAAACTACTGTAGTAAAGAAATCGAAGGGACTGATAATTTTAGCTTGTTATAACCGTAGTTGTTATTCACATTATAACGAAAAGACAAAAGAAACCCAGTTTGTTATATCCGTTATTTCAGTTTAAACCTGTTGGTTATTGATGTAGTGATCTATTAATGCTTAGTGTATGGCTATGTGACAATGGAATGGATTTTCAATTGTCTTTTGGGCTAATATTGTGACCATTTCTATAATATGATTTGAGGGATGGCTTCTCAACAAGATTAATGTTGAGAGTTGAGAGTTTTGAACAGATTTTTAGTTGCATTAGAATATGTAAGCTTAACAGGCACTCATCAATATTCCAGGTATATGACGGCTGTGTGTAAATAACTGAGTCTGTGATCAACAGCGTGATCTGCACAATTGAGATATGATGACATGTGTCAACCAAGTCAGCGTGCCTGTGCACCCGATCCCGTTATTCGCCACTCACGACAAGCATGGGGTACTGATGACAATTCAAACCCAGATCGTCACAGGTCAAGCCCAAAGTCATTCATGTTGATGGCCCGCCGTGATGTTGCTGGAATATTGCTAAAAGCGGCGTAAAACCAAACTCAGTCAGTCATGTTGATGGTTGCCATGGTGTAAAACCTATGAGTATGGTATGGTTCTGAGAGATCCAGACTCGTTGTTAGGGTGAATCTGTTATCTTGTAGATGAGCTGCTGTGATATTACTCCATTAAACATCTCTATTGGCGGAAACATCTTTAAGAATTAATAAGAATCTGCTAGTGACAGAGAATTCAATCATCCACTAAAACACATTAGGGAGGAAAGAAAATAGTGTTGAATTTTGTATGGATACATTGCAAAACGTCTGTGACAGAGAACTCAATCATTCACTGAAACACTTTCAGGAGTAAAGAAAACTAGTGTTGAAAATTGTATGGATGGATTACAAGACATCAGTGACATCAGGTGTTTATGAAATGGGTAAGCATGCCCTCCTCAACTGGTAGCGCCACCACTCACACAATTTGTGGAATAAAATTAGTTTGTTGTGGACGTCACACAGCACTCACACAAGTGGTCAAGCCAGCATAGACTGTACACACTGTATGGATTCGGTGAAGAAACGCTTGTTGTTACATCCTTGTTGCCTTGTCAAACTGACCCTTGCAGATCCAGGTTAGAATTGGTCATATGCAACCCATGGTTGTCGTAAGAGGCAACTGACGGGATCGGGTGGTCAGGCTCGCTGACTTGGCTGATACATGAACAGAAAGAATTTTTTATGGATAGACAACTTCTTGATTACAATGGATATGGGTGAGGTGAGGTGAGGTGAAATTGGATTTAACGTCGTGCTTGAGAATATTTCGCTCATATGACAACGTGCATGCGTGTGTATGTGTATGTGCGGCTGCTTGTACTAGCCCAGACTGAAGCTGGTTTTATACTGCTAGCCCGCTGAGATACCATGCCGCAGTGAAGCATGAATACCCCACTCAGACACATTATACTGACTCCGAGCCGACCAGTCCTTGTTGTACCCATTAATGCAGACGCCAGGCAGAGACCAACAAGTACCATATTTTAACGTCTTTTGGTATGACGCGGTCGGGGATCGAACCCGTGACCTTCCGCTCTCCGGGTGGATGCTCTAACCACTACACCACAGAGGCGGTCATAATGGATATGACGTTTCGGCCAAGCATCTTCACCGAAACGTCATATCCATTGCAATAAAGAAGATGTCTATCCATAAAATGTCGTTCCTGTTCCTGATACAAGCTTCTGAATGGCACTCAATGAAGTTGGTTGATGCATGTCATCGGTTCCCAATTGCATAGATTAATGCTCATGCTGTTGATCACTGGCTTGTCTGGTCCAGACCTGATTATTTGCCATTGTCATATAGCTGGAATATTACTGAATCGCGGCTAAACAACAAACAAACCTCTTTAACTGCTGCCCCAGTATGTGAGTCATAATAACATGTTATTGTCAATGAAAAGTAAGAGTTTTATCTTGTAAACTTGAGACCGCCTCCGGGGTGTAGTGGTTAGAGCGTCCGCCCGGAGATCGGAAGGTCGCGGGTTCGATCCCCGACCGCGTCAAACCAAAAGATGTTAAATGGTACTTGTTGGTCCCTGCCTGGCCCTCGACACTGACGGGTACAACAAGGACTGGTTGGCTCGGAGTCAGTATCATGTGTCTGAGTGGGGTATTCATGCTTCACTGCGGCATGGTATCTCAGTGGGCTAGCACTATAAAACCAGCTTCAGTCTGGGCTAGTGATGGGCACATACGCATAATAACACGCATGCATTGTCAATTGAATAATGGGGATAAGACGTTAAACCCAATTTCACCTCACTTTGTAAACTTGTATTACTAAATTCAATACATGTGACTCAAGTAGGTTGCACTGGATCTCACAGTGACACATTCTTGAGTCTGTGCTTTTGAAAGACTATTCACATTATGTAAAGTAGGGTCGAGAGCAAAAATCAATTATATGTAATTATTTGTTGTTATGTAACAACTGAATCGAGTGGCCCAGCATGCTAAGGAAGTGCTGGTTTCTTTATAGTTTATGTCTATAGCTGCTGCAACATGTTGGTGACATGTTGAGATAGTCAGAGATCCAACACGTTCATATGCTTGTATTTTCTGTAGTGCATGTGAATTGCTCACACTTTTTGTTTTTTGTTTAACACTACACTCAGCAATATTCCAGCTATATGGCTGCGATCTGTAAATAATTGAGTGTGTACCAGACAATCCAGTGATCAACAACATGAGCATCGCTCTACACAATTGGGATATGATGACATGTGTCAACCAAGTCAGCGAGTCTGAACAACTGATCCCGTTGCTCACCTCATAGACTGCTGAAGACCAATTCTGACCTGGATCTTCACTGGTTTGCTGACACTGATAATGCTGGCAAAATTTAATAGCAAACATACCTTATGTCGTCTTTAAATGATGCTACCGACTCCATGGTCTCGTGGATACAGCTTCTGGCCAGATGGTGGAAGGTCGGTGGTTCACTCACTGGCTGCGTCGTAAGGAAACATGTTAAACTTCAAATCTCTTTCCATTACGTATCAAATTAGTTTAAAATTTAAAAAATGTTTTAAAATTGTGCCATATTTTTTGTTCCATTAAACTGATAAGATCACCAGTGCTTTGTTAGAATTTGATGTAAAAGTAAAAATGTTGATATTTGTTGTAATTCTATGATAATGTTAGTTTTATAGTTTTGACTGTAATCAGTAACTTTCACATAGTTCTAACTGCCTACTTTCATTTTGGTAGATATGCTTGATTAAATGTCATTAAGTTACATTAATGCTTAGATTTCCATATCAGCAATCTCTAATGCAAGAACAGTGGATGACTTATTCAAAACATACTTTATCTCAATAACATAAATTTCTATGACTTTTGTCCTTTTTTAGATGTTAAACACCGTTATCAAAAGCTTAGGAGGAAAATTAGTCATGAAACATGTGATTGTAGTGCTAAACTCCCATACTATACTCAGTTCCAAAAGAAACGCAAATCATGTAAACCTGTGATACTGTGGTGAATATACCTGATCCCATTGCTCACCTCATGGACTGCTGAAGACCAATTCTGACCTGGATTTTCACTGGTTTGCTGACACTGATAATGCTGGCAAAATTTAATAGCAAACATACCTTATGTCATCTTTAAATGATGCTACCGCCTCCATGGTCTCGTGGATAGAGCTTCTGGCCAGATGGTGGAAGGCTGGTGGTTCACTCACTTGCTGCGTCGTAAGGAAACATGTTAAACTAAAGAAAGCCCTTGTTACACGCATGGCACTTGACATCAGTGCATACTCGGGCATAGTACATGTATGTTCACTCACTGGCTGCGTCATAAGGAAAGATGTTAAACTAAAGAAAGCCCTTGTTACACGCATGACACTTGACATCAGGGCATACTCGGGCATAGTACATGTATTTCAGTAGACTAGCTCTAGAAACCTGGCTTTTGTTTTGACTTGAACAAGCTGACGCACAAACATTTGTGTTCAAGTCCATATGTCTTGCACCCATGAACATTGGTCTTCAGTAACCCATGCTTGTCATAAGAGGTGACTAATGGGATCGTGTGTTCAGGCTCGCTGACTTGGTTGACACATGTTAATTTGAACTGTAGTTTGAGACCGAATGGTTTACTACAGGTGAGCTTCTGAACGGACTCTGCTTTAATTTGAACTAATTAATTTTGAAAGTAATGTTACAACAACAACAATAACAGTATAAAGGGTGTTTTAGCTGAAGGTGAGCTACATTGCCATTTTATTACTTGATATGTTTTCTTGAGTTGTTTCGATGTTGTTTCCAAATGCATGAATGTTGTTTGATGTTGCATGCACTTTCTTCCCCTGCCAGCCCCTGCCTGATAAGATCGGCACCAAGACCAACCGTTTCATCCTACACACCTCTGGTAAACAGTATGAGTTGTCTGCCCCTGATCTCAAGTCCCGAAATGAATGGATATCAGGTACAATGATTTACAATGATACTGAGCTCTCAGATTAGTGGTGATATGTGTTGTTGGCATGACCTAACAGAGTGGCAATGGATTTATTTTATTTTTAAAAGACATGTTTGAGTTACTGATGATTGTTTGTTGTCAATCTACTCACCCTTCTATAGCTATGTTCCATTTCAGGATGTTGACATTTTAATAAGATTTCCAGATTCTGTATTGACACAATGTATCTGCTGCAATGGATCTATTGATACCATATTGATACATTGTTGGTGCTGTATTGATACAATGTGTCTGTTGGTGCTGTTTTAAATTAATACAATATGTCTATTGATGCTATATTGATACAATGTGTCTATCGGTGCTGTATGGATGCAATGTATCTGATGGTACTGTATTGATACAATGAGTCTACCGGTGCTGTATTGATACAGTGTGTCTATTGGTGCTGTATTGATACAATGTGTTTATTGTGCTGTATTGATATAATGTGTATATTGGTGCTGTATTGATACAATGTGTCTATTGGTGCTGTATTGATACAATGTATCTGATGGTACTGTATTGATACAATGTGTCTAATGGTACTGTATTGATACAATGTGTCTGTTGGTGCTGTATTGATACAATGTGTTTATTGTGCTGTATTGATATAATGTGTATATTGGTGCTGTATTGATACAATGTGTCTATTGGTGCTGTATTGATACAATGTATCTGATGGTACTGTATTGATACAATGTGTCTGTTGGTACTGTATTGATACAATATGTCTACCGGGGCTGTATTGATACAATGTGTCTATTGGTGCTTTATTTCATACAATGGGTCTATTGATGATGTATTGATACAACATGTCTATTGAAACTGTTTTGATATAATATGTCTATTGGTGCTATATGGATACAATGTTCCTGAATGCTTTGATTGTTTAAGTTACTATTTCTATGTTGACATAGAAATCAACTGAAGAAAAACAAATAGCATGCACTGAAATTACCTTGAAATATATGCAGACATTTAAAACAAACTCAAGAATGTCAAAACATCCATTTTATCCCCTCCAGCATGGTGATGATAGTTTTCCCCAAAAGAAGATAAGGGCAACCCCCCACCCCACCCCCAAAAAAAAATCAAATAAAAAAAAATCAGAAAAATATGAGTTCAAATCTCTTTCCATTACGTATCAAATTAGTTTTAAAAATGTTTTAAAATTGTGCCATATTTTTTGTTCCATTAAACAGATATGATCACCAGTGCTTTGTAAGAATTTGATGTGACTAGTAAAAATGTTGATATTTGTTGTAATTCTATGATAATGTTAGTTTTATAGTTTTGACTGTAATCAGTAAGTTTCACATAGTTCTAACTGCCTACTTTCATTTTGGTAGATATGCTTGATTAAATATCATTAAGTTACATTAATGCTTAGATTTCCATATCAGCAATCTCTAATGCAAGAACAGTGGATGACTTATTCAAAACATACTTGATCTCAATAACAAATTTCTATGACTTTTGTCTTTTTTTAGATGTTAAACACTGATATCAAAAGCTTAGGAGGAAAATTAGTCATGAAACATGTGATTGTAGTGCTAAACTCCCATACTATACTCAGTTCCAAAAGAAACGCAAATCATGTAAACCTGTGATACTGTGGTGAATATACAGATTGAATATATTGTTTGCTCATGAAAACATTCAATGCAAACATTCAATGAAAACAATGTGAGTGCATAAAGTGAAGACACAAGTGATGTTTAATTATGACCAGACTTGTTTTGTGATAATGTCGATAAGACGCAGGATTGCATCATTTGGTGAAGTATCTTGAGAGTCATCAGAGAGGCATTTCAGCATTGAGTATGGAATCCATCAGCAGCCACTTTGGTATCATCAGAACACTCTCAGACAAGAATGACTATCTGAGCATAGAATACACACCACTTCTGTCATGTTTCATGTAAATTTAAACATTTGTAATACTCATGTTTCTTTTGTAGTTCAGTATACAACAGACTTATAATGTTGCTGCACTAAAAAGGGAGCCCTGGTTGTTATATAATAGTGTCACACCTAAAATATAGTTTTATTCAAGCCATAACCATATTTATGCTTGTGAAGCAAATTTCTTTATTTTTTTGTATTATTTAACAAATCATGGTAATCTAGAACTAAATTTACCTGAGATGACAAGTGTCTCATTGTTTACGATTAACTTTCCTTTCCATAACATATTTATAATAAAAGAGAATATATGTGTGTGATTTATTCCCTATTGCTTAACTGTATGTTTGTTTATTGTTTAATGCTGGACTTAGCATTAATTCAGCAATAAACAACAGCCTGTTAATGATCTAGTCAGATCACCCAATCCCAGTAGTCACCTTTTGACAAGTCCCTACAAAACAATCCAGTGATCAACAGCACGAGCATCAATCCATGCAATTGGGATATGATGACATGTGTCTAGCTATCAGCAAGCCTAAACATCAACCCGGATCTTCATGTGTGGCTTGTTGGTTGACTCAGCGACATCTTGGCTGTGAAGTGTTTTCAAGACCTAAATGGACTCTCACTAAGAATAGCAGTAATTTTTTTATTAATGACAAATGTGGAATGACATTTTGCCATGCACAGCTGTCTCACAGTTCTCAGTTAGCTGGTAATAAATATATTATTAAACAGTTGGTCTGGGAATTTTTCCAACTGTGAAGTTATTACTCAGTGTGTTCATTTCACATGAATAAATAATAACTCCAAATGGCTTATTTCAAACTTCGAAATGATTGCCTTGTTCACCATTGACTTATAAACAAGATGACTGGAAACGTTTGACTGCTACACCTGTTTTTTTAATCATAGTCACTGGGATGGAAATAACCCATTGCCTGACGCCCGAGTCCAATGTTTTTTTCCTTCGGGCAAGCAAAGTTGTATATCACACTGTACCGGTGTCCAGTTGACTTTCCAATATTAATTATGTTGTTTATTTAAAAAAATCAACAAGAAAACGGCCGGTATAGTGGAAAAATTATCAGGGCAAGTGATTTTACATGTGCCACTGTACCAGAGTACACTAGCAATTTTAAAGTTATTTCCACCCCTGAGTCAAGAATGCAGATGAATAAAGACTTATTTGAGCTGGTTGGTTAGGGTATGGAACGAAGGTGGGATTGGGCATTAGGTAAGTGGTTGCGAATTTGACCGAAGGAATCAAATTTTACATTATAATTTAACCTGCAACTTACTATAAAGTGTGGAAGAATTGATTTTATTGATAGTAATAGTGAGTGAGTGAGTAGACACATTTCAGCGATATCATGGCAGGGGACACTGTAAATAGGCTTCACAAATTGTACCTCTGTTGGGAATCTAACCTAGGTGGTCGGACTTGATGAGTGAACGCTTAAACCACTAGTCTACTCCACTGTCCCTGACAGAAGCTCCCCTGGGTCCCCTGGTAGTAATAAAGTGCATATACCAGGGGTGGAAATAACCAATTGCCCAATGCCCGAGTCCAGCGTTTTTTTCTGTCGGGCAAGCAAATTTGTATATCACACTGTACCGGTGTCCAGTTGACTTTCCAATATTAATTATGTTGTTTATGGAAAAAATCAACAAGAACATCAGCCAGTATAGTGGCAAAATTATCAGGGCAAGTGATTTTATATGTGCCACTGTACCGGAGAACACTGGCAATTTTACAGTTATTTCCACCCCTGTATACACAAATGAGTCCATATAGGGGTTTAACAACAAGTAAAAGGCAAATATTATGGATGACAACTTCTTCTTTATTGTACACACAACGTTTCTGGTCTATTCCTTGCCCCTTCTTCAGGTGAATTGTCACGAAGGGGAAAGGAATAGCCCAGAAACGTTGTGTGTACAATAAAGAAGAAGTTGTCATCCATAATATTTGCCTTTTATTCGAATACCAACTTCTAGATGCCTCTCAAGAAACTCATTTAGCAACAAGCATGGATTGTGAAGACCAGTCCTAACCGGATCTTCATGGGTGTCCATTTGTTCTTAGACACATTTTGCAGTGTGTTCATAGTCTCTTTCCATAATGCTTTGATGCAGATTTGAATATGGGGTACCAACATTATGAACAATTCTTATGAAATGTCTTGTTATGTTTATGGAATACTATGAAGGCAAGTGAATACCCTTCATCAATGTAAGCACAGATCACACTCAGGGACTCACAGGGTCATTTTCTCTTGTCACCAGCTATACAGAAGGCCATTGACCACTCGTACGCCAGTAGGGACGAGACCATCCAGAGGTTGTCGTGGTGGGAGAGAAGGAAGGAGAGGGCAGCAAGGAGGAAAGAAGCTGATGAAGAATCCAAGAGGAGGAAGGAAGAGCAGGAGCTCATGCTGAAGCAGCAGAAGGAGCTGGAGGAAGAGAAGGAGGTATGGGATCTGGAAAGTGTTCACATCTAAGGGCTGGATTTTGGCTCGGTCATCAAAGGCGGTACAATTCCATGTGCAGAATAGCATCAAGGCATGTCAGAGTATACGTCTTTGCCGAGACCTATGATAGTGGATTTTAATACAGGTTCTCTGATTATGTCAAATTTCTATAAGAATATGATGACATATCTGATCATCCCTATCGGTCAACTAAAACTTCTGTCAGCTGTATACTGACTGACTGAGGCTTTTTATGCCGCTTTTAGCAATATTCCAGCAATACAGGTTGGGGAGACCTATGATAGTGGATTTTAATACAGGTTCTCTGATTATGTCAAATTTCTATAAGAATATGATGACATATCTGATCATCCCTATCGGTCAACTAAAACTTCTGTCAGCTGTATACTGACTGACTGAGTTCGTTTTTTATGCCGCTTTTAGCAATATTCCAGCAATATCACGGCGGGGGACACCAGAAATGGGCTTCACACATTGTACCCATGTGGGGATTCGAACCCGGGTCTATGGCGTGACGAGCCAACGCTTTAACCACTAGGCTACCCCACCGCCCCGAGATGTATACATATTTATTTAGGTACATCTAAAAGTTTGACTGAACTACGACTGTTTTTGTTCCAGAGGAACAACAGAGATCGGCTCCTTCTGGAACAGCAGCTTCAAGAACTGGAGGCAGAGAGACAGGTGAGTATATGGAAAGTGATGAGTGATTTGAGAGGGACAAAAGATTGATAATGAGAATATGAGAGAATGACGAGTGACAATAGAGAGATGACAGAGTGACAGAGCATAAAATAACACATTGACTTGGGATTCAGACAAGTAGCTAAAGTCCTGGACTGCGTTCACTTTGCTCATATGAGATCCTGTCTTGATTTCAGGAGGCCAGTTGAATGTAATACCCTGTCGTGTGATTATTTTGGAGCTTGAAGATATTAATTTAGCATCCATATTTGCTCAGCAACTTCACAATCTCATTGCAGGCGAGAGCTGAGATTGAAGCACAGCTTCGTGAGCAGGCAGCGCTCCGAGAAGCAGAACAGCAGCGGCTTAAAGAGTTAGAGGAGATACGACAACAGATGGAGAAGCTCCTTGAGGAGGAACGCCAGGCCAAGCGGGACGAGGAGATAGTCCGCAACCTACAAGCCAGGTACCCACCAGGAGCTGTTCCTCTGCCCATTAAGTCTGGGAGAAGGGGAAGGGATGAGGTGGGTCAGAGTCTGCTTGTTGAGGTACCTCCGCGTCCCCGGCGTCGTCGCCGAGTCAGACGAGAGTTTGAGGAGCTGGAGGAGGTGGAGGATGAGCTGGATAATGTGGAGGAGATGAGGAAGAAAGGGAGGAGGAAGCAGTGTGACAATATGCCTCCGTTGTGTAACTGTTACTGCACACTGATGTAGATTAAACACACATTCCTCATCGTAATGGGTAGATTTGGGAAACTGTGTGTATTGGTGTGTGTGCTGTAGTTATATAGTATTGTCTTTGTTTCTTGGGTGGGAAAATATTTTTGATAATTTTATACTTTATATCTGTTTCATATTTATATATTTGGAAAAGTGGCCTGTATTTACGGCATTTTGTATCTTTGTTTAACATTATGGAAATGAATAACATCTTATGATACAGACACTCATTGCATGAGAGCCTGGAATGAAACAGACACACATGCAGTGATACAGACACACATGCAGTGATACAGTGATACAGACACACATGCAGTGATACAGACACACATGCAGTGATACAGTGATACAGACACACATGCAGTGATACAGACACACATGGAATGAAGCAAACAAATAATGCCTCAGACAAATTGATGAATGGAGACACCCATGATATACACTTCCATGGGATAACACATTTTGGAATGACAGACATATGAAATATTAAAGACATCCATGGAATGATAGAAACAAGGAATGAGACTGAAGTGGAATGATACATGATACGTGAGAAACAAGGAATGAGACGTGATATACATGGATTGGTATAGATATGGAATGATACACACATGGATTGATAGACACATGGATTGATAGACACATGGATTGATACACACATGGATTGGTATACACATGGAATGATACACACATGAATTGATACATGGATTGGTATGCACATGAATTGGTACACACATGGATTGGTATAGACATGGAATGATACACACATGAATTGATACATGGATTGGTACACACATGGATTGGTACACACATGGATTGGTACACACATGGATTGGTATAGACATGGAATGATACACACATGAATTGATACATGGATTGGTATGCACATGGATTGGTACACACATGGATTGGTATAGACATGGAATGATACACACATGAATTGATACATGGATTGGTATGCACATTGATTGGTACATGGATTGGTACACACATGGATTGGTATAGACATGGAATGATACACACATGAATTGATACACACATGGATTGGTACGCACATGGATTGATACACACATGGATTGGTATAGACATGGAATGATACACACATGAATTGATACATGGATTGGTACAGCACATGGATTCATATGCACATACATTGGTATAGACATGATACACTTTGATGGGCTCGTGGATATTGGTATAAACATGGAATGATACACACATGGATTGATACATGGATTGGTACACACACACATGGATTGATACACACATGGATTGATACAGACATGGAATGATACACACATGGATTGATACACACATGGAATGATACATGGATTGATACACACATGGATTGATACACTCATGGAATGTTACAGACATGGAAATACACACTTATAAATAAATAACTGTGAAAACAAGTCTTAAAAACAAGGAATGACATGTAAAATGTATATATCTGTTGATTATATTGATGTTTTAATTGATGCATATTATTAATAGTACAGCATTTAGTGTGTTTGTGTGTCTGTATAATTCATATGTACTTGTATTTAATAACTGCTTATAAATCATGGAATTTAGTTACCTATTTACCTGGCCATCTGATTCTTGCAAACATCTGACTAAGTCAGAGTCCTGTATCTTGATTGGTATGTAGCCAAATCGAAACTAGTTCAGCTGAGAATAACAGGCATATCAACTTAATCAACATTAAAACATATTATTTTTTTAGGAACAGAAAAGATGTATTTTGCAATGAATTATTTCAGAGCATATTTGTCATATTATTTCATAGGATAAGTTTATGCATCCATATATACAGCTTGCTTTTTATACAAATAATGATGTCAGAAATTATTATGCATCTTGCTCCAGACAAATAGCATGTGATGGGTCAGAGTTACTGATGCATGTACCTGGTATCTATGGTAACACCTCCTGGGTATGGTCCCCCCTTGATGTGGTTGGTGTGGCTGTTGCAGGATTCTGGAGGAAGAGTTTGAGAAGAGGACGGAGCTGGAGAAGCTGAAGGACCAGCAGGACCAGCTCCTGGAGGAAGAGCGAAGACAGCGGGCCGGGATGGAGAAGGCCCGGGTGGAGTCCGATCACCAGCTCATCGAGGCCAGGGATAGGCTGAAGGAGCTGGAGCTGGAGGGGAAGCAGGCAGAGAGTCAGCTGTTGGTGAGTACCGGTACTACTGATTAGAACCATGAAGATCCGGATTAGAATTGGTCTTCAGCAACCAATGCTAGTTGTAAGAGGTGACTAATTGGATCGGGTGGTCAGGCTTGCTGACTTGGTTGACACATGTCATCGTATACCATTTGTGTAAATCGATGCTCATGATGTTGATCACTGGATTGTCTGGTCCAGACTCGATTATTTACTGACTGCCGCCATATAGCTGGAATATTGCTGAGTGTGCGTTTAACACCAACCAACCAACTACAACATTTTAGTGGTGTTCCGATTAATTGAAATAATCGTAGATTGGTTGCAGTGACCACTGACCTATTACGTAACTATTGCCTACTGTTCATAAGTTATTAGAGCCTGAGAACACGTGTGTTCTGAGAGAACTCACTTCACTTATTGACAAGTCATGATTGAAGATTTCTTAAAGACTCCAGGAAGTTTATGTTCATTATATTTTCGTCATTCATTTAAAGCAGCAAGCTGCCTCATTTAAATTTGATTTGAAATTTGCAAATGTATTTACGCTGTTATTAAATAAAAACAAGGAAACAGAGAAGCATATGTTTTGTATTTAATTTTATCTGCAATAAAACCTTAAAAGGAAAATACTAAAAATGATGCTAACAATTTTTTTCAATGATAGATCAGTTGAATTGAACCAGTCATCAATTATGAGATTTCAACCAATTCCCAGCACTACTACAGGTCTGTGTACAGGGATGCAGGGAGCTGGGCTGAGTGCTACAGATGTACTGGGATGTAGGGAATGGTCCAAGTACAAAATAGTATCAGAGCATTTTCAGGGGTGGAAATAACCCATTGCCCTAACGCCCGAGTCCAGCGTTTTTTTCTGTCGGGCAAGCAAATTTGTATATTACACTGTACCGGTGTCCAGTTGACTTTCCAATGTTAATTATGTTGTTTATTTAAAGAATCAACAAGAAAACGGCCGGTATAGTGGAAAAATCATCAGGGCAAGTGATTTTACAAACGCCACTGTACCGGAGTACACTAGCAATTTTAAAGTTATTTCCACCCCTGATTTTCAGGAATGTAAACGAAAAAATCCCAGTCCCCAACAGAATGTCAACTTATCAGCCCTCAACATGCCAAAAATTAGTTGTTTCTTGGTTCCTGACAGTTGGTCTCCTCTGTGTTGCAGGAAGCTACTAGTAAGCTACGACTTGCCGAGGAGGAGCGGGTCAAGCTGGAGGCAAGGCTGAAAGTGAAGGAATCTAAAACAATCGGGCTAGCCAGACCCATGTGTGTACCTGATCCCGACCCTTTCACCACACACAGGGGCAAAGGTGCTTTTGTAGAGGCAAACTTCAAGGCTAAGACGGCCCACATTACACCCACCACTACACAGCTATAGTGTAGAGAATGCTTGTCAGGTTATTGTCAGAGACATTGGAAAACATGGTTGTGGGTAGAGTGGCACATGAGCACTGGAACATTACATGGTTAATACACTTGATGTATTCTTGGTTGTCGCTGATGGAACATAGGAACACTATAGAGTTGAGACATCAGAACACGTTAGACCAATACACAGTTGTAGACATCAGAACACTGTAGACCAAAACACACTTGTAGTAGAGACATCAGAACACGTTAGACCAATACACAGTTGTAGTAGAGACATCAGAACACTATAAACCGATACACACTTGTAGTTGAGACATCAGAACACTTGTAGTTCAGACATCAGAACACTATAGAACAATACACAGTTGTAGTTCAGACATCAGAACACTATAGACACAGTTGTGTAGAGACAATACACTGTAGAACAATACACAGTTGTAGTAGAGACATCAGAACACTGTAGACCAATGCACAGTTGTAGTTGAGACATCAGAACACTTGTAGTTCAGACATCAGAACACTATAGAACAATACACAGTTGTAGTAGAGACATCAGAACACTGTAGACCAATGCACAGTTGTAGTTGAGACATCAGAACACTTGTAGTTCAGACATCAGAACACTGTAGAACAATACACAGTTGTAGTTGAGAAATCAGAACACTTGTAGTTCAGACATCAGAACACTATAGAACAATACACAGTTGTAGTAGAGACATCAGAACACTATAGAACAATACACAGTTGTAGTAGAGACATCACAACACTATAGAACAATACACAGTTGTAGTAGAGACGTCAGAACACTTGTAGTTGAGACATCAGAACACTATAGAACAATACACAGTTGTAGTAGAGACATCAGAACACTATAGACCAATACACAGTTGTAGTAGAGACGTCAGAACACTTGTAGTAGAGACATCAGAACACTATAGACCAATACACAGTTGTAGTAGAGACATCAGAACACTATAGACCAATACACAGTTGTAGTAGAGACGTCAGAACACTTGTAGTTGAGACATCAGAACACTATAGAACAATACACAGTTGTAGTAGAGACATCAGAACACTATAGACCAATACACAGTTGTAGTAGAGACGTCAGAACACTTGTAGTAGAGACATCAGAACACTATAGACCAATACACAGTTGTAGTAGAGACATCACAACACTATAGACCAATACACAGTTGTAGTAGAGACATCAGAACACGTTAGACCAATACACACTTGTAGTTGAGACATCAGAACACTTGTAGTAGAGACATCAGAACACTTGTGGTTGAGACATCAGAACACTATAGAACAATACACAGTTGTAGTAGAGACATCAGAACACTTGTAGTAGAGACATCAGAACACTATAAACCGAAACACAGTTGTAGTAGAGACATCAGAACACTTGTAGTTGAGACATCAGAACACTGTAATCTGAAACACAGTTGTAGCTGAGACGTCAGAACACTGTAGACTAATACACAGTTTTAGTAGAGATGTCAGAACCCTATTGAACAACGAACAGCTGTAGTGCAGAACACAATAATGATACCAAGATGCATATTTTATCAGACACTCATCTCTGTAGTGAATACGACCTGTTTCAGTTTTGTACACCTGACCAGGTGAGGGTTGATGAAGTTGTATATATGCAAATGTTATTTTAATCTGTGGAGGCTGAGGATGCAGCAATTGTGATGACTTTATTTTATATATTTTTTTACTGTTACACTCTGTTACAGATAATATGGCAGTGAGCCTGTATGATGTCTGGGATATATTTGTATACATATATCTATGTAAATAGAATCCGTATTGATACCTGTGTGTGATATGCGTGATGGTTATTAATTGAGAAATATTTCAAATTTCATGTCAACATTTTTGTGGTTTAATTTTGATAAATTTTCCCACAATGCCACATGGATGGTTTCTTCTTTAAGGCACAAGTACTTAAGGCATTTGTATTTCCCCAAGTGTTTAAATGTAATTAAGGTCCATGATTTTTTCTGGAGTACATACATTTTTATCTGGAGAGTCTCCAAGTTGAATTTTGTTTCATAAACTGGGATTCCTCAATATTTTGTAACTGAATTTCAAGCACTGTTCCATAAAACCGGATCTTTTGAGAATGTTCAGAATTATTTTAAATAAGCGTGGGACATTTCACATCTGGCAGGGGTTGCAATGTCTGTGATTCGTACACTGGGAAACAATCTTATATTTGTGTTTTTTTCATTTGCCTGTTTTTAAAGGCACTTGTCTTAGCATCTCGTCTGAGGGATTGGTCATTTATTATAGGGTTGGGTTTGCAGGTGGGATGGTTGTCCCTTAATTTCAGCAGCATTTTTCATGTCCCCCATTATTAACTACCACAAAGGGCCTAAATAAATTTCTAGAGGCAAGTGAGTTTATTAAAAAATGCTTCCGTTTATTCAGCAGTGAATGGGTACCCGGTGGGATAAGTCTATTAATCTTCTAGTGTCTCAAAGGCAACTTGAGTTAACCAGGATAAAAATGTCAATAATGTGCTTAAAGCATGCTTGTGTGTCATAGAGCTCAGTGCCATACAAGTGGCATTGTTACTGTTTTCTAAAAAATTAGAACTGTAATTGTTTCATGACAACCCTCCTTACGCCCACTGCCTTCTATAATAAATGACCAACCCCCTAATGACTTGGCTGTGTGCATGATTCCCATTGTAATAGCCCTTTGTGTATACGCTGTATATGTCGCTGGGTGCAGGTTTATATTTATCATGCATGCTGTGTATGTAAAACAACTTCAAACCAATGGCAACCAGTTGTCTGAACCGTCTTTTATTGTGACACTAGTCTTGTACAGTGCTTGTAGGCCTTTTCTTTTTTGATAGTGTAAAATGACTTTTTACAACAGTTCATGACCTTTCAGATTTGTTCTGATTTGCAGTTATTCCACATTTGTCATTGCAATGTTTAATCTTGCCAAGTCATGATGATGATGATGATGATGATCATGATGATGATGGTGACGATGATGATGATTACCACGTGCTTCTAGAGAAACTGATTTTTCACTTTGTTTGTAAATTGAATTTATTTATGTAATAATAAGCATAATTTTCAGAATAAGACTATAATTGTGATGTAACCATATTCAGCTGTTAAGTAGATTAACTCAGCTAATATTTGGGGATTATTTGAATCTCATGACAACTAGCTGAGGAGAGCAATCTTACCTGTATTACACCACTGACACCCATTACACAGGGGGGCGGTGGGGTAGCCTAGTGATTAAAGCGTTGGCTCCTCATGCCGAAGACCCGGTTCGAATCCCCACATGGGTACAATGTGTGAAGCCCATTTCTGGTGTCCCCCTGCCGTGATGTTGCTGGAATATTGCTAAAAGCGTCGTAAAACCAAACTCAGTCAGTCAGTCAGCCATTACACAGGAGAACCATCAGCTATGTGGCAGGATGTAGCAGTCATTGACCAAGGACACTTGACACAGAATATACAATTTCTTACCATCATCAACTTTATTAGTACCAGAGAAGCTATGGTTTTATACAACACAAGGAATGACATAATAACTATAATAATATAAAAGAATTGGGCATTCAGGATACTTAAGGGAAGGTAGTGTTCTGGGGAACACTATGTTTAACCTCCCACAAACATTTATGTCGCAACTGACTGAGAATTTGAAAAAGTGTTGGTCTATTTTTGTCCGAATTTTTCATTATCTGGACCTGTTATGCAAATGTACAGATCTAGACATTGTACGCAAGGAATGTATCCTGTTTGCTTCTTGTGAAATTGTCTGAAGCCCCTTAAATACTAAATACACTGTGAAACTCTTCTCATAAACATATGACAGGGGTGGAACCTTGTATCTTTCTTTGAATAAGTCTTTGCTAAATAAGCATGTTATTGATATGCAATATGTGGGTCAAAGCCCACTGAAGATACATGTTTGATGGTGTATTTTCATGTCAGCTGTTTTCAAAAATTCGATTCCCCACATGGGTACAATATGTCAAGCCCATTTCTGGTGTCCCCCAATGTGATATTGCTGGAATATTGCTCAAAGTGGCGTAAAACCATATTCACTCACTCATGTCACATTATGTGTCAATTTTTGAAAATATATGACATGTATGTTAAATGGAATGGGGGGTGGTTAAAGCGTTCGCTCGTCATGCCGAAGACCCAAATACCCGGTTCGGTTTCCCACATGGGTACAATGTATGAAGCCCATTTCTGCTGTCCCCTGCCGTGATATTGCTGTAATATTGCTAAAAGCGGCGTAAAACCAAACTCACTCACAAAGGATGGAACAGTTGTTACTGATTGTTGGCAAAATGGTTGATGGCTGATTTAGCACTTATGACCATCCATGACAGCTTCAAACTCTGTTGTCATAGTGACAATATTTCTGATGATGATTTGAAACATCACTTACTTAGGTATAACACTCAAAACAAACTGCAGAACTTCACAATTGGAAGATAAAATCAGTTGTTTTTCAATTGAGCAATTTATATGACTTTGAAATAAGATTAAGGTGTTCCCAAAGGTCTTACCAATATTTTATCAGTCATCAGTTCAAAAGATACAATTTCTTTTTCTGATAGAGAAGACCAACACTCTTTGGGGACTCACGATACTTTGGTCTCTAAAATATTCATCATGTTTAGTGAATATGATCCACTTGTATCTCCGTGGGTTGTAACTCACATACCTGAATGGAGTCTTACATATCCATAGCAATAAGATGGTCCAATTGCTTTTGTGTTGAGGAGACATTTACTTTGCCGATCCATGATGCTATCAGTTAGAAAATATTAGAAACGAAAAGCAGTATGGCACAGCTAATATACATCCCTGTCTGAATTGCGGAAAAATGTATGGATGTAACTTTTGCATTATTGGGAATATATATACCCATGAAGGTCGGGGTTAGAATATTGGTCTTTAGTAACCCATGCATGTCGGAAGAGGCGACTAACGGGATCGTGCGGTCAGGCTCGCTGACTTGGTTGACATGTACACATGTCATCGGTTATTGCACAGATCGATGCTCATGCTGTTGATCACTGGATTGCCTGGTCCAGACTTGATTATTTACTGACCGCCGCCATATAGCTTGAATGTTGCTGAGTGCAGCGTAAAACAACTCACTCACCCACTCGAGTATATAATTGTCATTCCTTCATAAGTTGAATGAAAGCTGGGAAGACTGTTGCTGTATATGTTGATATAGTTAAGTAGGGTATAAGGGTGATATTATGGGATAGATAGGATAGGTAAGCTATTGCTTGTCCGACCAACATATACTCTCATCTGTTGATAAGGATATTATTCACAAATTCCATTCTCAGAATGTCAAGTGTGTGTTTAAATATCTCTTGCTATCCTTATCAATAGTTGAGTAGTATGTATTCTAGTTTTTGTTTAATAGGTTGACTGCCACCCGAGTATACTCGTAGTATCAATTCTGGCCGAATGTGCCACTACGAGTTATCTAGTGGTAGTTTGAAACAAGTTTCACATGTTGGCAAAATAGGCACAAGAAACAAAAGACTCCTGGAGACAACTGCTTCTTGTGCCTGCTTTGACAACATGTGAAACCTGTTTCAAAATATCATTGATGAAGCTACGAGATTTTTTATTTTTTTACTCGTAGTAGCAAATTCGGCCACGCATTGATACTACGAGTATACACGGGTGGCAGTCAACGTGTTAAGGGGCAAGCACTATTGGCAAGCAGTTGGAACCAAATGCCTCTTGGGTTGATGACACATACATGAGAATATGCCACTGTTCTTCCTGAATGATAATGGACTCCTCACACAGTGAGTTCTAAAAATAGCATTTCAAAGAATAAGGTCATGAGTTAAAATGTTTCTCAGAGAAATAAACAAGATAATTTTTTCTTGTGCATATGTATTTCACGGCTTTGTGCAATTTATGTCTAAGCATTAAACATTACACAGATGATCGCTTGTTTGTTTTTTTATGACATATTTTACCTGTGCACATACCATTCATGTCCTTGTTCCCTCAGGTAGTTAACGAGATGCCCCCTCACCTGGGAAAACAGATCTTTCAGATTTATCGCTTCATAATGTGAATCCCTACATTTGAAAAGTCCACAGAGTCAAGTGGTATATGCTTGATGGTGAACACCTCATCGCAAGAGATACACATAAAGGAGGTCTATCTCCATCCGTTTTCAGCAGATAGTCATGAGAAACCGACTGTGCCCAATACATCTTCGTAAAATTACCTCATCACGTCTTGACTGACAGGACCCGTGAAGATCCGGGGTAGAATAGGTCTTCAGCAACCCATTCTTGTCATAAACAACGACTATGCTTGTCGTAAAAGGCGACTAACGGGGATCGGTTGGTCAGGCTCGCTGACTTGGTTGACACATGTCATCGGTTCCCAATTGCGCAGATCGATGCTCATGCTGTTGATCAGCAGTGAAGATAAGGGCTTGTCAAGAGCTGCTTTAGCTGTAGCATCGGCGTTTCAACACCAGCTGGAATTGTTTGACCAAACTTGATCAGTGACCAAGATGATGTCTTGATGTTGACTTGCCTTTGCATGTGTTTGTGACACATGCCGCTCACCTATTCAGAAACACATGGTCAGAATTTTTCAGTGGGCTCTGTTTTTAGCTGAGATTTTTAGAAAACATGGTTGGCTGGTTGGTATGTTGTTTTACGCCGCACTCAGCAATATTCCAGCTATATGGCATCGGTCTGTAAATAATCAAGTCTGGACCAGACAATCCAGTGATCGACATCATGAGCATGAATCTACGCAACTGGGATACGATGACATGTGTCAACCAAGTCAGCGAGCCTGAACACCCAATCCCATTAGCCGCCATTTACGACAAGCAAGGGTTGCTGAAGACAAATTCTAACCCGGATATTAACGAACATGAATACGGTAATGTCAGGTATAGTTCCCCGGGTCGCGTACCGATCCGTCGAATTTCTGATTTCAAAGTAGTAAAATGCATTCGACGGATGAGCTCTATTAATTAGTTATCCAAACATTGGATCATACCAAGAAAAAGACACAAGGGGTGTTGGATTGTTTGGCTCTCTTTATTTTTGTACGTTTGTACTTTTGTACTTATCTTTGCCTACTTATATGATACAATGAGAAATTGATGCAATAAATGTAAGTTTGGACTCTCTATATTTTTGTACTTTTGTAGAAAATTGAAATTGATGCATTAACCCTTGTCTTATGGAGCGGGGTCCAAACGGACCCCAAGGCCAAAATATTGTGATAGAATCGCTCAGTGGTAAACAATCGTAATGGGACGTCGGGTAATCTTCAACTGACCATTTGTCTTTTTAAAAATCAGGTTTAAGATTGTGAAAGAATTTCCATTATAAAGTAGTTGATGTGTTATTGCACATGCCCTACTGGGGACTGATGGGGTCAGTGCAGACCCCACTGACAAATCTTTGACCAGCATTTAGAATTGCTCAAGGCAATCAGATTCATTAACCTTTTTTCGGGTCTTCTGACTTGTGTGCCTAGAGCACATTTTAAATGGATTAACAAAACTTATTTGAACTTATGCAACGGGAGCTTGGTGGTGATCACTGTGGTGAAAGTGATGGTGGATCTGATGAAGATTATCAACCATCTGAAGGATCTGAAATCACAGAATCCGACTGTGACCTAGAGGATGACGCTACTTCCAACTCTGACAATGAGACTGATGTAGAAAGACAAGCTCCTGACTTGTATTACAGCCATGATGGAAGACATTTAAACAAAATTATAAGCGTACAAAAAATCGCAAATCAAAAGTGCAATATTTTTTACTTGGGTTTACTTCCCTCGAAACGAAGCACCCGGAAGACCGAACCCAGTCAGAGCGGGTGGGTGTGCACTCAAGTGTAACGAAGTCTTTCATTGGCTGGTTCATTGCCGATATGCTGAGGGCTCATTGTGTGTGTGTATATAGAGGGTTGGGTTGGGTTTTTGTAAATACATGCTCATTTTTTCTGCATTTTTGCGTTCGATCCAATCAACAAATACTGAGATGGTGAACTACTGCGTGGCTGGAAACTGTCGTTTCCACAGATATAATAACATGTCATGTGTACAAGTATCATACCTGCCTGTCTGTGTCATTACATAATGTGACAGAAACAGAACTCAGGTGCACGAGGCACAAATCAATGTATTTTGTTTATGGTGTATAGCCTGACACGTTTCAAGTTCAAATTGCATGACTGTGGTCAATGATTGAAGTTGTGTATTGCATATTGTCATTAGCCGACAGGCAGGCAGACACATAGGTGTCAATAAAACAGACATTGAGTTTTGTCTGTGACAGAGACTGCTTATCACAATCAACATATTTTTCTATGTTTCCATAGACATGTATTAAAACAAATATTTAAGTTTTCAAGCTGAGCAATTTTTAACAAAAAAAATTAGTATTTCTAATGCTACATTTTCTTGAAAACTTGGTTTGCAAATCTGCCAACCCTCCAAAAGCAAGATGTGAAAACATATAAAAAAAGTATGGGACCAGTGTATTTTTATTACTGCAGACCAAAGATGCTTGTAATCACAAGAACGTCTTTTGTTCTCAAGCTTCGACAACAGCGATAATCCTTGCACGCATCACTTGCTGTGTTTTTACAAGTCGCCTTCCCGGTTCAAGCCGCGCGAACCTAATCACTGCGCATGCGCTATGGGCGCAGCGCAGCACAGCTGTTGAAACCACTTTTCACTCCAGCGCTGGGGTGAAATTAGTGAATCGTTTGAACTCCGATTTCGCGGGTGTCTTTTCATCGATTTATTTTTCAACTTTACAAGTTGAATTTGCATTTTTGATGATTTGTTTCGGTAAGTCCATACCGAAAGGTATCAGAATCTGCAAAGTTGTGTTTTGCGTTGCATGTGACCTTTAAAATAAAATGCAAGCACCAACTATTATTTACATTAATGGCATACATTATAAATTTAAAATGCTTTTTCAAAGAAAAATCTATATTAAATGCGATAAACATAGTCACTGTGTTTTTATCTGTTGTATATTGCAAGTGAAAATGAGCAGTTATAAGTAGTAGTGCGTGTATCTCGTTCATTAATAATGGTGATATTTCTTGATTCTATTCTAGTTTTATCTTGTACAAGCAGTCAGTTGTCACAACTAGGTGCCTGAAGGTAAGAGGCTCATCGTTGTCATGAGTATATGAATTAAATATCACTGTTCCAAAACTAACACGTATTTGCCGCTCACTAGTGATACATAATTCATATATAGATAAACAGTACAACTAGTGTTGTTTCTAAAATATATACATGGAAATGGCAACATCGCATCCGTCTTTTTTGAGACGCCAAGTTTTCGAGCAAACTGTTTCTACAGCTCGACAACTTTGGACAATCAATTGATTTTGATGTTGATAAGCAAACATTGGTCCTCCTCAAATGGAAAATGTTCACAGATGGGAAGTTATTGTTATGCGGGATGCTGGCGTGTGATGGAGGGCTATTGCAAGAAATGTTTGTTGTCATCCATCTTCTATCAGGCGATTGAGCAGAAAACATCAGTAAAATAATGGCATTAGGGACCGTTCATAATTTATAGCTAGGGGGGATGATGATGATTGTTATGGAGAAGCATGTACAATGTGAATGACCCCCTCTAAAATGTAAGCACAAAGCAAGTGACCCCCACCCCCGCATGTCATGTACAAACTCAATGACCCCACCCCCTCTAACCCATAATTTTAAGCAGTTTTAAAAATATTTTGTATGTACAAAATTCCTCCCCCTCCAGTACATGTGTTGAAAATTGCAAAATTGCGGACCCCCTGCCTCCTCAGAACAAAATGGTGACACCCCTCCACCACTACCAGGCCCCCCAAATCATTACACACACACCCCACCCCACCCCCAAAAGCCATATATTAGGAACGATCCCTTAAGGTTGGTTGGTTGGTTGTTGTTTTACGCCGCACTCAGCAATATTCCAGCTATTTGGCTGTGGTCTGTAAATAATCGAGTCTGGACCAGACAATCCAGTGATCAACACCATGAACATCGATTCGGGAATGGGATACGTTGACATGTGTCAACCAAGTCAGCGAGCCTGACCATTCGATCCCGTCAGTCGTCTCTTACGACAAACAAGGTTTGCTGAAGACCAATTCTAACCCGGATCTTTAAGGGTTAACTCTGCAAAAAGAATTGGCATGCATTTGACTCCTGAACAAAGCAACCATATGACAGTGATCTGAAGGGAAACTACATTCTTTACGCGCTGTGAACACGGCAGTTAGCCTTCAGCCTCGAAGGATCTATTGATGAATACACAACAAATGGTCTGGCTGTGATACTGGATGGAAATGCCACAGTCAGTTTTACCTTTGTAGATACAATAGTCTAACGAACTTGTCAGTTTGAGAAACTTTCAGGCTGGAGTCAGTTTTGTGAGCATGCGGACCTGTCTCTTTATAAAAGAGCCATCAGCTTGATAAGCCTCATTTTTGTGTTTAATTCAGTTTCTTAGATGAAGTTACAGATTTAAAATAAAGTAAAATGAAGTAAATTTATACTTATAGATGCAAATTATGATATGGGTCTTTATCAGTCACACTTGTCGAGACTGATTTCACAGTATGACTGTTGTTATGTGAGGCAGCCTTGTGGTTAAAGCGTTTGCTCGTCACGCCGAAGACACGGGTTCAATTCCCCACATGGATACAAAGTGTGAAGCAAATATGTGGTGTACCCCGCCGTGATATTGCTGGAATATTGCTAAAAGCGGCATCAACCCCACTCACACATTCTTTTATCGACTTCCTGAATTCTGATAACCAAACCCCGAAGGTATCGGAACTGAGCTTCAAGGCTAATGCTGCCGGCATTTGTTTCTCGGTTTCTTATCTCCCGCCTACCCTGAAGTTTGATTCTGACGGGAACAAGCACGACGTTTTTATTTC